TTTTATTTGATTTGTTTGATCAAAGCCTTTGACAAGACAAAAAAGCAGGTGTTATTTATAAATTTTGAAGTCTAGAGAGTCATTGAGTTTGTTCTGGGCCTGGTCCAGAGGTTCATGCCTGTAATCCCAGCACTTGGGAGGCCAAAGCAGGTGGATTGCTTGAGCTCAGAAGTCCAGACCATCCTGGGCAACATGGGGAAACCCCGTCTCTACTGAAAATACAAAAACTAGCTGGGTGTGGTGGTATGCACATGTGAAAAGAGAGTAGTCCCAGCTACTCAGGAGGCTGAGGTGGGAGGATCACCTGAGCCCAGGAGGTCAAGGCTGCAGTGAGCCATGATTGCACCCCTGCACTCCAGCCTGGGTGACAGAGCCAGACGCTATCAAAAAAAAAAAAAAAAAAAAAAAATTGTTCTGAAGTTCCTTCTCCAACACAATGCCTATTTCAACTGTAGCTAATCAAAATTGTATCACACACACCCAGCATTCCAGAACACAGAACAGGCTGGATGATGCAGCCAATTCATTTTCTCACAGATATTTCTATCTCTTTCCCTGTCAAACTGCATTTAAAAAAAAAAAAAAGAATGAAGGGTGTCTTTTATTCAAGATGTCTAGTCTTCAGGAACTTTGTTTTTCCATTATTAAATAAGCAGAACAAGGAAGCAATAAAGACACCTAAAAGTACACCTAGAAATCCAGAGGCCAGTTTTTCTGAACTCCGGAAAGTAAACAGCCGAGGCAGGAGGGTCGCTGGAGGCTGCCAGTTTGAAACCAGACGGACAACACAGAGATACACCCGTCTCTACAAAAAAAATGGATAAAAATTAGCCAGATGAGATGGCACATGCCTGTAGTCCCAACTATTCAGGAGGCTGAGGTAGGAGGATGGCTTGAGCCTGAGAGGTGGAGGCTGCGGTGACTATGGTAGCACTCTAGCCTGGGTGACAGAGCCAGACGCTATCTAAAAAAAAAAAAAAAAAAAAAGTAGAGATGAGTGATTAGAAGGGCGGAAAGCCCAGGCTAATCTTATGATTCTTGACCACATCCTAGCTGCAAATCGGTTTATCTTGATCAAATGTCCCCTGTGCAGATGACTGGGGTGGGGCCAGGGGAAACATATTTGCCTGCTGCCTCAGTGGTGGTCACCCTCCTTTTCCAACAGGCAATGGAGGGCGTACCTGGGTGTGCTGGAGGCCCAGGAGGCTCACTGCTTCCAAGAGAACCGTCCCTAAGCACGCGCAGAGCCTGATGAACAACTGACGTCATGACCCACGAGTGAATGAGAGAGCGGACTGTACACAGTTGTTGTTCCTTGAATTTTTGCTTTGGGCAAACTGGTCACACAATCAAGGGTGTAAGTTACTATGGGACACTTGCTTTAAAAGCAGAAGAAATTCCTTCAGACTGTTATAGAAAACATAGTTTTCAGGTGCTCATTTAAGGTAGTTGGCAGCATATAAAAAATTCATTCTTGCCGGGCGCGGTGGCTCACGCCTGTAATCCCAGCACTTTGGGAGGCCGAGGCGGGCGGATCACGAGGTCAAGAGATCAAGACCATCCTGGTCAACATGGTGAAACCCCGTCTCTACTAAAAATACACACAAAAAAATTAGCTGGGCACGGTGGCACGTGCCTGTAATCCCAGCTACTCAGGAGGCTGAGGCAGGAGAATTGCCTGAACCCAGGAGGCAGAGGTTGCGGTGAGCCGAGATCGCGCCATTGCACTCCAGCCTGGGTAACAAGAGCGAAACTCCGTCTCAAAAAAAAAAAAAAAAAAATTCATTCTTGCAGCTTTCTGCCAGTCATATCCACGTTATTGTTCATGGCAGGGATCAGAAGTCCTGCTCAATTAGACTGTTTCTTAACGTGCTGAAGCTCTCTGTCCTCGGGAAGCTTCCCTCTGACTTGTTTCTTGTGCAGGGCTCTCTGGTTTCTGAGTTTGTTGCATCCCTTCCTCCAGCTGGGAAAGAGAAAAGAAAGAGCTCTCTTGGGATCTTGGCCTCAAATCAAGAAATAACCTTGTGGCTGGGCACAGTGATTCATGCCTGTAATCCCAAGACTTTAGGAGACCAAGGCAGGAGGATTGCTTGAAGCCAGGAGTTCGAGATCATCCTGGGCAACAAAGTGAGACCCACCTGTCTCTACAAAAAATAAAATATTAGCTGGGCATGGTAGCATGTGCCTGTACTCCTTAGCTGCTTAGCAGACTGAGGTAGGAGGATCACTCGAGCCCAGAAATTGGAGACTATAGTGAGCTATGATGGCGCACAAACATCAGCCTGGTGTGGTGGTGTGTGCCTGTAGTTCCAGCTATTCAGAAGACTGAGGCAGGAGGATTGTTTGAGCTCAGGGACATCGAGACTACAGTGAGCCATGATGACACCACTGCACTCCAGCCTGGATGAGAGAGCAAGACGCCATCTCAAGAGAAAAAAACAAAAAAGTAAAAGAATGGAATAATAGGCCAGGCACAGTGGCTCATGTCTTGCAATCCCAACATCTGAAGAAGCCAAGGCAGAAGGATTGCTTGAGATTAAGAGTTCAAGACCAGCCTGGGCAACATGGTGAGATCCCATTTCTACCAAAAATTAGAAAAATTAGCTGGGTGTGATAGCACACACCTGTGGTCTCAGCTACTCACGAGGCTAAAGTGGGAGGATTGCTTGAGCCTGGGAGGTCCAGGCTGCAGTGAGCCATGATCATGCCACTGGGACTCCAGCATGGGTGACAGAGACCCTGTCCCATAAATAAATAGATAGATAAAAGAGAGCAGTAACCTGAAAGTCAAGAATCTCCTAACTTCCCAGAGCAGCCCCACAACAACATACATGGCCTTCTGTCTAGAGAAAGACGTGCAATAAACATTAGCTCACTTAATTGACTGTCCATCAGGAACTCTAACACCCTTTACCGTATGGCAATGCCTGGAAGCTCTCCAAACACAGGGCCCCTGTCAGTTTGGGCTCACTCATGAATCCTCAGTAGTTTTGCACAATGCCTAGCTCGTAACAGATGCTCAGAATGAAATGTATTTACCAATAAATGCTATTGATAGGTGATGGAATATAGTATTGTGGTCATCTCAATGAAAAGTTGGTCCTTATATTCTTGGACAACTTCCTAGTATAACTCTGATTTGATGGAAAAAACAGATTAACTTGATCAGTTCAACTCACTTTCAACTTTGAGAATTTCCTGTGTCAGAGAGACATTGGAGTTGTTCTCTAGCTGTAGATACACACAGGCTTGTGCGTTTCCTCCATTTCCCCTCTTTTCCGCTTCTTCATTTCTATGCTCTGTTTCTACTCTATGAGTCTTTACCGGCAAGTTGGTGTTATGACAGGCAGGATAGGGAAGTCACACAGAAAGACACAGATTGGGTTACGAAAGACAGCTTTTTATCCCTTTCTGTTATTATCCCCCCCAGAGTGGCTCTTTTGAAGGCTGGGATGACTTCAGTCCACTATTAGCATGATCTTCCGTTTAGAGTTCAGGGACAGATGATGTCCTCACATAGTATAATGTTCTGCTTGGCTCTTGTAGTTTCTTCTTAGGGACTTCTCTTTCTTTCATCTGCAAATCAAAAGGTTCAACAACACCATCAAAGAACATTAGAAACAAAATAGGCCAATGGCTTCATTTAATAGAGTAAGAACATAGCAAAGCTTTTTTATTTTATATATATATTTTTGAGACGAATTTTCACTCTTGTTGCCCAGGCTGGAGGACAGTGGTGAGATCTTGGCTCACTGCAACCTCCAGCTCCCTGGTTCAAGTGATTCTCCTGCCTCAGCCTCCCAAGTAGCTGGGATTACAGGCATGCGCCACCATGCCTGGCTAATTTTATTTATTTTTGAATTTTTAGTAGAGACGGAGTTTCATCATGTTGGTCAGGCTGGTCTTGAACTCCTGACCTCAGGTGATCCACCCTCCTCGGCCTCCCAAAGTGCTGGGATTACAGGTGTGAGCCACCCTGTCTGGCCCACAGCAAAGCTTTATTCACTTAACAAGTGACGGCCAGCAGCGTCTGGTTAGTTCACAGAGGCCACAGTTTATCTGCTCAGTCTGGAAATCACCTCACGACTCTACATTAAGCAGGTCATCTGAAATACAGAGCTCTCTTCATCACCCGTTAGAATACAACACTTGGGTGGATTTTACTTAACATTCCGGTACTTCCTCCCAAAAAGAAATTGCTGGAGATTAGTGTAACTCAAGAATAGTCAGAAAACATACAAGAAAGTTTAAGACAGATGTCCAGCAGTGTCTGAACTGTTGAGAAGCAAAGGTCAGTAAATAAATGCCTTTAGTTTTCATAGAAAAAGTAAGTTCACAGTAGGACCTCAGAAGCAGAGGCTGTGAGATCACCTTTCAAGAATTGGTGTACATGATAGAGCTGGACGCTGAGCTGCAGCAGACACCGGGAATTGGTGGGGCTGTGGCTTGTCCTGTCCTTCTGCCCCCCGCGTGGACGCGGAAACTGTGAGATGGATGCCTAAGGCAGAGTTGGGTAAAGAGAAGCAGCGTTCATTTTCCCCTGGACTCTAAGTCCATGAAGGTGGTGGAGGAATGGCCGCGTCTTGCCCAAGGAGGAAATCCGATTCGAGCCCCCACTCCTCTCCCCGAGGGACTGATAGACTTGTCCCTCGTTCATCCGGGAGGCTGGCACCCAGGCACGACGCGAGGACAGCCAGACTAGCCGACGGCGGCCGCGTCCCGAGGGGCAGGGTGCGCGCCTGTTGGAAGGTGGGAGGCGGAGTTGCTCGGCATCTGGGAAGAGACCAAAGGAATGAGTAATTGGAAATTCTGTAACATAGACCCTTCTCCCAAACCCTTTAGCTCTTCCAGCCCAAGCCCCCTGCCGAGAGGCGAAGGGACTGGAGACAGGGAGACGTGGTGGAGGCAGAGTCACGTTTCGGAGAGGGAAGTGAAATAAAGAGGGCGGCACCCGGGGGGACCTGTGCGTCATTGAGAGACCGAGGAGAAGCGCAGGGCGCACGGGGCTGCAAAAGAAATAGGAACGAGGAGCCGAGGGGCCGGCCGCGGAGCGTCGGAGTTTCCAGACTTTCTTGGCGGCGCTCCGGCCGCCGGCAGCCTAGTTCTTGGCCCCTGCCCCGACCCGCCGCGCTCCGGACCCTGGCAGGCGGGGCGCGCCCGCTGCGCGCAGAATGTGGCAGCCGACTTGGCCCCGGCCCCTCGCGCCCTGGAGCTGGGCGCTAGCGCTGCTGGCCCTGGGCGGCGTGGGGCTGTGCCGCGCCGGCCCGCAGGCCGGGTACCCCGTGCGGCCCAGCGCCAGAAACAAGTAAGTGCGCGCCCCTCCGCTGGCCCCAAACCTCCTACCCCTCCCCGGCCGCCGCTGAGCCCCGGAGCTGCCCAGCCTGAGACGACGAGCGGCAGCCGGGGGTCTCCCTTGGACTTCCCCTGGCGACCCCTTCTCCGGGTGACCGCGCGCTCCACGGCCAGCGCCTCAGGCAGAGCTGACTCCGGGGGCGTGGGCACAGAGAGTGTCCCTCAGACCCGGGTGATCCAAAAACGACGCCCAGGAATTCCAGGACCCCCTGGGACCGTGGGTGCTTTTCTTGCCCGTCTTGGTCGGGTCAAGGCGCGCGCTCTCCAGGCACGCACCGGGGCGCCCTCTGGCGTCTGCTCTGTGAAGCTCCCACCTCCGCTGAGGGCGACTGGCTCCCCGACCCTCTCTGGGTCTGGGGCTGCTGTCCCCTCCCCTGGCCTCATTGTTCTCCGGGTTTACACGGTTCCCTTCACCCTCTCTCTCCTGCCTCCCAGGAACTGGTGCGCCTACATCGTGAACAAGAATGTGAGCTGCTCTGTGCTGGAGGGAAGTGAGAGTTTTATTCAGGCTCAGTACAACTGTGCCTGGAACCAGATGCCCTGTCCGTCCGCGCTGGTGTAAGTCCTGGAGCCAGGAAGCGAGGGGGGGGCGGTGCGCCCGGGCCGGGACGGTGGGGGTGGGGTGGGGTTGTCGCGCTAGGCTCTAGTCCTCCAGTAAATCTCTTCCAGATCCTGTGTAAACCCGCAGCGGAACAGCGCTCAGAGCGCTGCGCGAGGCACCGGCCACGCTGGGGTATTTAGGGAGCGTGTGCTGCCCGAGTGATCGGGGAGGATGCGCACCCCTGGGGAGTGTGGGGTCGCGGGGGCATAGGAGAGGATGAACAAAGCTCCCACTCCCACTTCTGTTTTTTTCCTTTCAATTTTTGTTTCTAACATAAGGCAGCTGAATCTAATTAGATCCATATTGTGTGCTCTGGGGCACACAGAAGATTCCAAAATGTATACTGCTAAAGACTTTTCAGTGTAGGATTCGCTGAGAGGTTTGGCTAAGCAGTGTTCTAAAACAGGTGAGTTCTGTCCACATGTCCCCATAAAACGGAATCTTCCAGTGTCGTAGATGTCTAAGCTAAAACCTCAGGAACACTTTGTTGAACGCTGTGGTTCTCCAGCAACCCTCCCCACAACTTAGTTTGGAATTTTGCTAGAGATTGTGGGAGAGATGGCCGTTAAAGACAGGGGGAAGAATTAATCATCTTTTTGCTTATAAAGATTTCACCATCTTAAAAAAGCAACGCGATAAAGTACAAATGCTGTTAAATGCATGACATTCAATTATCATCCGGCAAGTCTTTGGGGTTTTGTGTCACTCTGATATCGGAAGATGGGCCGATGTGAATAAATGGCTGTTGAGGAACACATGATGGCTGAAATTAATTGTTTTTCACTAAGAATAAGTTGTTTGTCTTAGAGCACAGTTGTCATTACAGGGGCAAATAGTCAGTAGGCGGATCTGTCTTCGGTAAAACCAAGGGACAGACTGGAACTTGTACTCCAGGAAACCTTATTCCAGAGAACAGTAAATGAGCCTGTAGTCCTGTGGGAAGTGGTCGCTGGATGCACGCTACGTGGGGTGTTGGAGGAGCTGCAAACAGGGTTCAGCTAATTCCTGCTGGGCAAAAACAACACAAAACAAACAGAAACTTAGAGAGGTCCCCACTTCCTAATATACAGTGAAAAACGCTGAAATTGAATGCCCAGCTAGGCTATCTCTTTGAGTTGGATACATTGTCAGAGAGATTAGATACTGTCATCCGACCTTAATCTCTTAGTAAGATTGAGACCTCATCATCTAAGGCCAGCAGTCAGTGAACCCAGAACCAAGTAAGGTTTTTACACTGTGGGAGTGATATAAACTAAGTATTCAACACAGTTTGAATGCATTTCTTTAAAATTAGAATTGAGTTATTAATCAGGAATATTTTATTCATCTTATACAAGAATTGGATGTTGTGGCTTGGTATAACTTTAAAACTTACTGGTGACAGTTTGGAGGTAAATGAATTTTTCGTTTTGGAAGGTAATGCATTTTTGTTTAAAAGATGCCTTGTTTTTATTTTCTCAAATTATTTTAGCTGCTTAGAATACCAAAGTATGATTAATTGTTCTATTTGATCAAAACTCAATGAAACTTGGTTGTCAGTGGGGAGAGAATTGCCTCCAGATCAGCAGGTTAACGCAAGACAGTGGGAATGTATTTTTGCCACCCAGTGTGTAGGACAACAGAATCATTGTAACAGATGACAGACATTTCTGTTGTTTTATTAAAACCAAAATAAGTGACCCGGGTATTTTTCTTCAGTAATAACCATGTGAACAATTCAAGTGCATTTTTACATTTTAAGTACTGCACTGTAGGTGTGAAGTTTAAGAAACAAAGACAGACTCTTTGAGTTGATGAACCTGAAAATCTTGACATTAGCTTCACAGTAAATTCAGTCTTGACCTTTTTCAGTTTCTTTAGGGATGGGACAGAATGGTTTGCCTTATTTTTCAACTGAGGAATGTTTCCTAAGGTTTCTTTTTTGGTTTTTGTTTGTTTGTTTTGTTTTGAGACACTCTCACTGTGTCGCCAGGCTGGGATGATCTCAGCTCACTGTAACCTCTGCCTCCTGGGTTCAAGTGATTCTCATTCCTTGGGCTCCCGAGTTGCTGGAACTACAGGTGCATGCCGCCACACCCAGCTAATTTTTTTTTTTTCTATTTTTAGTAGAGACAGAGTTTCACCGTGTTGGCCAGGCTGGTCTCGAACTCTTGAGCCCAGGCAATCTGCCCGCCTTGGCCTCCTAAAGTGCTAGGATTACAAGTGTGACCACCTGGCCTGGCCCCTAAGTTTTGAGAATTAGTGGATGAAGGAAGATAAAGGAAGGAGCCTTCTTTTTATACTTAACAAGGAGGAATGGCTGTTTCACATGGAATTGCTCAGTTTTCTCTGAGGAATCCAGAAGCCTGAGTCACGTCTCAATTTATTGTCAAGTCAGCCATTTCATAATTTGTTCCTTAGAACCTGGGACCTGTGGAAGGGAAGTTGAAGTTCTTTATTATGGTTGTTGTTTTTTAGAGACAAGGTCTCACTGTGTCACCCAGGCTGGGGTGAAGTAGCATGAAAATAGTTTACCACAGCCTCTAACTCTTGGGCTCAAATTATCCTTCCACCTCAGCCTCCTGAGTAGCTGGGATTATAAGCACAAGTCACTGCATCCTGCTAATTTTTTACTTTTTTTTTTTTTAGGGTCTGGCAACTATGTTGCCCAGGCTGGAAGAGAAGGTTCTTCAGAAACTCACCCTAGAGTGACTGAGGGGTAATTTGTGAGCAGTGTTGGGAGTACAGGGCTGAAGCTTGGCTGAGATGCTGGAGATAGAAACGCATTTCTGCAGTTGAGAGTGACAGGTCAGCCCCACTGAGGCCTTGAGATGGTTGAGCAGAGCTGAGTTCTTAGGGACGGTGGAGGAGAAGGAGGAGGAGGAGCCAGGCAAGAAGAGAGAGTGAAGTAAAGACATTGGTGGAGGAAACCCCATCTTAGAGACTCAGAGAAGTCCTGGAGGCTTCAGCCTTCAGAAAGACCACGGGTTAGTCAGCAGGAAGCAGTTGCTTCTGCAGAAAGAGACCATTCAGGTCAGTGGGGTGTAGCATTGCCATTTGTGTGAGATTGAAGGAGTGAGTCGTGAGGAAACTTAATTACACAGAAAATGGTATGTTGGGAAAAAGGCTCTGATGATTAAAAAAAAAGAAAGTTAGGTGGTAGCCAAGCAGGTAAAGAATTACTTACAGAGAGGGAGCTCTGGGCCAGGTGCGGTGGCTGATGCCTGTAATCCAACATTTTGGGAGGCTAAGGTGGGAGGATCACTTGAGCCCAAAAGGGAGGCTGAGATAGGATTGCTTGAGCCCAGGAGTTCAAGGCTGTAGTGAACTATGATCATGTCACTGTGCTTCAGCCTGGGTGACCAAGTGAGACTCCGTCTCAAAACAGAGAGAGATACAGAGAGAGAGAGAGAATGAATGAGAGTGTCAGTCTTGCTTGGTCATGTTTGGATGTACGGCTGGTAGAAAACAGCACGGTCATTCTTCTCTTTATTGGACTGGCATTGTTTTTTTTTCATGCGTCCACATTGTCCCATCACCTCCTGGTCAGCCTGGTGTTTTTAGTATTGGGGGCACTGGGAGGCGTCTGGTCCACAGACAGGCTGCATTGTTGGTAAAGACATCCAAGGACCCCAGAGATGAGGCAGAATTATTCTGAGTTCACTTTGCCTCCCCACTCAGGGCTGATGCTCTGTAGGGCAGAGTTTTCTGACACCACACACTGACTTGGGCTTATCAGCATCTGGCCACCTCCCTGCACCGCCTCGTGGCCAGTGTTGTATCTTGGCAGAATTTTTCCTATTAGCTTTTTTCCTAAAAAAGATCTCGGCAGTTGGGAAGGGGTCTGGGTGGGGCCAGCACACAGAGTCTGTGCTGCTGAGATAATGTCTGCCAGGAATTTGCAGCAGGTGTTGACTTCTCCTGTTGAGTTCGGAACACCTCTAATTCTACTCAGGCTCCGAAGGGAGTAGATGGTTGTTCGGTTGAAGAAAAGTTGTCTCTTAGGTAATAACCTCAGCCAGGGAATGTGACTTTAAAAAAAAAGACACAGAACATTTGGCTGGGCGTGGTGGCCCATGTCTGTAATCCCAGCACTTTGGGATGCTGAGGCGAGAGGGTCACGTGAGCTCAGGAGTTCACGACCAGCCTGATTAACATAGTGAGACCCTGTCTCTACAAAAAATAGAAGAAATTAGCTGGGTGTGGTGGCACATGCCTGTAGTCCCAGCTACTGGAGAGGCTGAGGTGGGGGGATTGCTTGAGCCTGGGAGTTCAAGGCTGCAGGGACCCACGATTGCACCATGGCACTGCAGCCTGGTTGACAAGAGTCTAAAAGAACAACAACAAAACCCCAGAACAGAACGTGTAAGGCTCGTTGGGGGGCGCAGGGGCACGGGCGGGGAATGAGGGCTTACGTCTTCCAGAGCCCATTTTCTGTTTTCTACATCTCTAGGAACAGAATAACTTTCAGTTCAAAAGGTGCCTTTTGTGTATAGCTTTGGAGGCATTTTTTTTCTTTTAGCTTTTAAACAAAAGTTTTGCCATCAATTGGCTGTCAGGAGGCTCGTTTCTTGGCATTGAAGGTAACTTGGAGTCAGCTAAGGAAGACTGAGCTCGTGCCAGAGAGGCACAGCTGTTGCTATTTTGAGTTTCTTTCTTTGGGTTTCCATTCTTTATCGGCCTCTTAGGGCTGCTCCCCTAGAATCTCCAGACCTTCCTATTAAGTTTCTTATTTCTCTTGTTCCTATCTCTTCCTAGATTCCCATTGGAGGAGATGCTATGCTCACAGGGCCTTTGGCATTTCCAGAACATTTCCACACCATTACTTTATTCTTATCACAAGTTCAGCCAGGAGATTAGGCAGGGCGGAGACTGGGGTCTTGGAAAATGAACATGCGTATGTTTGGGCTACAGTTTCTACCTTTGTCTTAGAAAACAGCGAATAGCCTTCAAGTAGAGGTAATGGCCTTACGAAAAA